ATTTTTTATGGAGAAGTCTGTTCCCTACACTTACGTTCAGTGCTAGGAGAGGTTTTAACGGTGCTTCAAGAAGTTTGCTATGCCCAGAATGACGCTTTATTCAATTTGTTTGTTCGTCCAGCTACTTCTGATCAGTAGAGCTTCTCCCACTGCCGAATAAAATTTTGGCAGAGATGAGCAATTACATCTAACTTATTTTCTGTCACAACTAATGTTAGTGAGGAACGATTGAGCAGACAAAACTTATTACCTCTCTCTACCTTTGCAAAAGAAATCTGCTGATCTTGCGGTGAAGATAGTCCAATAGAAGGTTGGGTAGCATTAACACTGTTGTTTAGATTAATCACCACCACTTGACATTTAACTTGAATTGTATCGATTCTAGAATTCCTTGACAACATGAACTTTTTTAATGTTAGTGAAAAATGGTTTAGCAGAAAACTGACAGACAAACAGAATTTACAAATGCCTCCTAAATACTAGCAAAGCCCGCACTCTGTTAAATTAGGCTTGTTGGGTTCTAGTTCAATGTCCCAGCTGGCCTAGAAGAACCAGAAATTTGTGGCTCACTATCAGAGTAATGATTGATAATGACTGAAGCGCAAGTTATGTTGCAAGCATTTAAACGAAGTCAAAGAAGCTCGTAATGCGATGCCAACTGTACAAATCTAGCTCGAACTATTTTCATAAACTCAGCCATTCCTATATCCAGTGGGCTTAACATGCATGAAGTGGACGCATTCTAAATAAGTTATAGACTTGGTATGATATAGCACAATTAATTGTTACGTGCGTTGTACACCAAAAGCAAACTGCCTATTACAGATTTCTGTTCATTTGGAAGAATTTCAATGCGAATATGTTACATTGAGCAACCACTTTAATAGTGGTATCTTTAGAAGTTTATAATTGCGCGCATTCCGGAAATGTAGAGAGTAGGTCTTGCCTTTGTAGGGTCAAGATGGACGAAGTTTCTCCTACTTTCCTTCATTCTTTCCTCTCCTTGCGAACTTCCACTTCCTCGACTTTCGCGGAGGTGAGCGACATGGGAGAGGGGTTTCGAAATGTGTTACTATACGCAGAATATGTAATTGTCTATTTGGGCCAAAAAGAGGAAGTAATTCCCACGTAAGGAACAAATTTCTCATTGAGTGGATGATACATGAATTGCTAACAAGGATGGGTATCAAGTGTTGTGCTCATCCAAGAAGTGGTGTGTACTAATAATGCACCTCGAAATATCAAATTTCAAATCTGCTGTCTTTGTATTTGTACCCTTCGCAAAGGAAATATGAACGTTTTTCCCAGAATATAGCGTGCACAATTTATTATCGCCCTACACAGAATTTGAATTAAACTAAAGACGCAATAACTAAAGAATGATCTTTTGCACTACTAGTTTAGTTGGATTTCTTTGCAAT